GAAGAAGAAGAAGAAGAAGAAGAAGAAGAAGAAGAAGAAGAAGAAGAAGAAGAAGAAGAAGAAGAAGAAGAAGAAGAAGAAGAAGATAAAATGAAAGAAAGAAAGAAAAAGAAAATTCACAGAAAAAATTCAAATAACTTCCCCCCCCTCTTGCTGGGGATCGAGCCCAGCCCCTTGCACATGGCAGGGAAGTGTTTTAGAGCTGAGCTGCATCTGCATCCCCTCAAATGACTCTCAAACATTTGAGAACGTGCTCAGCCTCACCTGCAGAGGCAGAACTGCATACTTTAGCTAGCACTGACATAGCGTTTCCAGCTATCGGATTGGCAGAGATGGAGCATGTGTCAGTCCACTGCGCTGGCAGAGGGGCATGGAGACACCGCTCAGGCCTTTCTGCGGAGCTCATAAACTGGAACAAACTCTCTGCTAAATGATTTGGCAACAGTTAAAGAAATAATAAGTGCACATTCACTTTGAACCAGCAATGGCACTTTGCCCCTGTAACTTCTTGCTTTTGTTTTGTTTTTTAAAACCACCTAATTATATTAGCCATGCAAAAGTGAATTAAAACAAATTTGAAAAGTTTTCTTATCCCTGGCTCCTCCCTTCTCTCTCTCTCTCTCTCTCTCTCTCTCTCTCTCTCTCTCTCTGCTTCCTGGTCCTAAGAAAGTGAGTAGTTTTCCTCTGCCAGGCACTTCCACAATGCTGTTTCTATTTTAGAGTCAGACTACCATGGACTGAACCCACTGAAACTGTGTGCCAAAGTAAACCGTTCCTCCTTTCAGTCGTGGTGGTCAGATATTTTGTCCCAGCAATCGGAAAGCTGGCTAATACAAAGCATTACCTGCACTTAGTTAAAATGAACTCTGTTGGGTCATCTTTAATATACATTTCAATTTCCACTATTATATTAGTGTTGAAAGTATCAGTCGCTGTTAAATAAGTGAGAAACACTGCCTAAAGCCTAATATTCTTTGCTTCTAAGACTCAACATGCACAGATGCTAACATTCAGTAACTGGAGCCACACAAACACTGACCCCAGGAAAGCACCTCAAGGAAGCCAGACGGGAGGTGAATGCTTTCTTGGAAATATGTCTTGCATCTCCAGCAATGTATAAATGCCTGGGACTTCACTTGAGTGCTGCACAACTTAGCATCTCTCTACCTGTCTGCTTACCTAGCCACGTGTCTGTCTATATATGTATGAATGTATGTAGTGTCTGTCTATCTACTTGCTATTTCCTCTCTACAGCTGAGGACACTGAGGCCCGAAGAGTTTCACACCACTCCCCTGAAGTCACACCTAGACTACCTCTCTCCATGACTGTCACTTAGAGATAGCTGTGTTTTTCGCCACACCTAGCATCCTTTTCACCTCCCCATTCCACTTGCACCCTGAGGACCTTTCTGAGGCTTTTATGATTGCAGCATCTCAGGGCAATGGTGAGTGGAGCCTGGGAGGGGCCAAGGCAGGA